TATTTGAAAGGCAGAGTTTACAGAGTAGGAGAGGGAGAGGCAGAGAGAGGGATCTTCCATCCACGGATTCACTCCCCCAATGAAGGCAACAACTGGAGCTGGGCTGGTCCAAAGCCAGGAGTCAGGAGCTTCTTCCTGGTCTCCCATGTGGGTGCAGGGGCCCAAGCACTTGGGCCATCCTCTGGTGCATTTCCCAGATACATTAGCAGGAAGCTGGATTGGAAGTGGAGCAGCCAGGACTCAAACCAGCACCCATATGGGATGTGGGCACTGCAGGCAGAGGTGTAACCTACACAGTGCCAGCCTTAATACTAAAGCTTTTGAAGGCACAGTGGGGCGTGGACCCCAGCCTTGCTCTAAATGGCGTCTCAGTGCCATGTGTCCCACATCCCAAATTCATACCACACATTGTCCTGAGCCCACGTGGGTGCAGGAGAGACGAGGCCTGGGGAGGTGGGGGAGGGCAGAAGGATTAGGGAAATGGAAGAAGAGACCCAGTGTGGGGGTAGTCGTCAGGGCCTGAACTGGCAGGAAGCAAGGCAGTCCCTGCAGGAGAGGCTGCAGGCAGGGGGCCCACAGGTGCTGCCTGGCCCTTGGGACTGGGAGGAAACACCTTTTGAGAGGGGGGAGGGAAGACAAGATGGGCCCCCCAGCTGTCACTTCTCATGTAGGGCACCTTCGTGGGGGGAGGGGCAGGCATCAGCTTCTGGGTCCCTGGAGAGCAGGACAGGGGCACAGCATTGTTGCACACCTCTGGCTGTGCGGGGGAGGGTGCATGTGTCTTGGAGACTAAGTCTGGAGGAGCGAGAGCTGGGCGGTTGGGGGGCAGTCAGCGGAGTGGCCGCAGGCCCTCTCGTCCTCCACGTGCTGCCCAGACTCCTTCCTCTTTGGGAGCCCCCCCAGCCGACAAACTTCCTCTTTCCCAGCACATCCTCCTGCGCCCTGGGAGAGCTGACAGCCACCTATTGTCCTGTTTCCGCCCCAGGAGCCGTTCCAGGGCAGCCCGGGCCCAGCTCGCAGCTGCCCCTGGGCCCCGCTCCACCCCGGGCAGCCTCCCCCTCCCCAATCCGAGGCTCAGGTGGGACCTGTGTCTGTGCAGCTCTGGGCCCCAGTGTCTGTAATCAGAGCCCTGAGTAGGGCAGCCAAGGGGAGTCCTAGAAGCTTCCCTCCTCCCGCCCCCACTCCACCCCACCCCCGCTGAGGCCCCTTCACCACACGCCCTGCTCAGGCAGCACTTCCGCAGCCCCACAGGAAATGGGCTGGAGACGCAGCCATCCGCCATCTCGAGGCGACTTCTTGTTTCCCTGTTGCCCTGTGCCAGCCCTGGGGTTGTACCCCCTTGGCTCCACCCCCGAAACCTTCCCAGGGTCCAGGCCCAGCAGCTCAGAGAGGACAGGATGGTGGACGTAATTGCCAGACTGACCAGGAGGCAGAGTCGGGCCGTGCGGGCACAGGTAGGGGACCCTGGCAGGAGGGGGTGCGCTTGGCCTCTGCTGGGGTGACAGGATGCTCCCACGGGTCTCCATCCTCCCGTTAGGGGCCTGGTGCGCTGGGGCTTGGAGCTGGAGTCTCGTGGAGTTGGGGCTCCTCCCTTCTCAGCTCTTCCCTTCTCAGAGGCCCTGTGCGTCCGAGGAGGGTGGCAGAGACAGGATGCTGATGGGAGCTCGGCTCGGGACAAGGGTGTCGGGCTGCCACCTGCTAGTGGCCAGGAGAGGGGACGGGAGGCAAGGGGAACACCAGTGTAAGCCAGCACGGGAGGCTGCAGTGGCGAGAACCCAGGACCCTCATGGCTCTGGCCTCCAGCCCCAGGTACGGAGGCCACTTCCTCTCTCCCACTCGGTGCCGCTGTGTCTCCGGGGTCCCAGCCAAGAGCCCGTGGTGCTGCAGCCAAGAGTCTGGGTGATGTGGCTGCATGGGCCCCTTCTGGGTCTGCGCACATTGGAGATGCTGGGGAGGCCCTGCAGTGACCTTTGAAGATGGGAGGAGGACCTGGCCCCAGGAGGCTCTGCAAGGACAGGAAAGCCCCTCTGTCTTAGCACCAGCTGGGCTCTGTGGAAAGTTCTAGCGTTTAAAGGGCCTGGGGACCCTGCTGTTTAGGTCCCCACCCCCCTGCCACAGAAGTGTGCTCTGCCTTCTTGGATGAGGGCCCCTTACGTCCTCCCAAAAGACCCCCGCCGTGCCCCGAATCTCCCATAGACACTGGGGGTCTCTCTGTGATCTCTGCTGGTAGGCCAGGCTGGCACCCGTGGACTGAGAGTCAAGGCCAGAGGCCGACCAGGTAGAATCCCCTGCTCTGCGAGCCTGGCCTCTTGGTTGGCCCACCCACCTCCAGGGCCCTTCCCTACCCCAGGGATAGGCGAGGTCTCGGCCTCAGCAGGTCCAGCTCGGGTGGTTAGAAGGGTGTCTGGTTCATCCACCTTCCTCCTCCCACTGCCTCCGTCCTGTTTTCTCAGGAAGTTCTTGCTCAAAGCTCATGCAGGTCTCACCGGTACTGTCAGATGTGTGTGTGTGTGTGTGTGTGTGTCGCTGCAGGCTGGCGGGGGATGGACCATGGATTCAAGCAGTGAGCGCTCTGACCGCTCTGCTGTGTGCTGTGGCACATGGGTGCACCTGCTGGCAAGTGAATGGTGTCGGTTCCATCATCCTGGCTCTTGTCCTCAAGACACATCTGTGTTTGGGGGCAGACAGGTGGGCAGCGAATTGACCCCCAGGGCAGAATGCCTCTGAGCTCTTCCAGAGCCACAGACAGGTGCCAGCAGGTCTGACCCCTCTCCAGAGGGCTTTGGGAGCTGGGTGCCGGCAGAGGAGGCAGATGCCGATAGGCAGGGGGTGAGAGAAAGGAATTGCGGGTGGGGGGGCGACGGAGCAAAGGCACGGAGGTAGAAGACGTCCTCTGGGGTGCGGACAGGTGAGCAGCCTGGTGTGGTTGGGATGCAGGTTTCCACATGAGGGCTGGGGCCGGGGGGGGGGGCAGGAGTGGGGTGGGGGGTCCTGCCTCGATTGCACAGGTGCCGTGGTGGGGGGTGGTAGGAACCGATCGCATCCCAGCTTTCCTGTCCCCTACATTCCTGAGGAGTAGCCGCCTCTCAGAAAGTGCGACAGCCCCTCCTCTGACATCTGCTGCCCTGCTGAGCAGTGAGCGCCACTGACGTGCTACACCCTTCATTTTTTTTTAATTTATTTGAAAGTCAGAGAAAAAGGGAGAGACAGAGAGGAGGGAAGAGATCTTCCACCCCTGGTTCAGTCCCCAGATGGCCACAATGGCCGGCGCTGGGCCAGACCAAAGCCAGGAGCCAGGAGCTCCATCCAGGTCTCCCACGTGGCTGGCAGGGGCCCAAGCACTTGGGCCATCTTCCACTGCTTTTCCAGGTCATTAGCAGAGAGCTGGATCGGAAGTGGAGCAGCCAGAATTCTAACTGGCACCCATATGGGCTGCTGGCATCACAGGCGGTGGCATTACCTGCTATGCCACGACACTGGCCCCCACTGCCACCGTTTACACGTGTGTACACTCAGGGCCAAGCCTTCCAGGAGAGGGATCTGTATCCATTGTTCACTGCTGCATCCCCAGTGCCTGGAACCGTGCCTGGCAGAGAGTGGGCAAATGAATCTTTTTTTTTTTTTTTAAAGATTATTTATTTATTTGAAAGGCAGAGTTACAGAGAGGCAGAGAGAGAGAGAGAGGTCTTCCATCCACTGGTTCACTCCCCAAATGAACATTCACTCCGCAACGGCCAATGCTAGGCCAATTCAAAGCCAGGAGCCAGGAACCTCCTCCTTTTCTCCCATGTGGGTACAGGGACCCCAGGACTCGGGCCATGTTCTACTGCTTTCCCAGGCCCTAGCAGAGAGCTGGATCAGAAGTAGAGCAGCCAGGACTCCAACCAGTGCCCATATGGGATGCCGGCGCTGCAAGCAGCAGTTTTACCCACAGCACTGGCCCTGCAAATGAATCAATCTGGGTGAATAAAGGCATTTTAGGCACCTGCCAAAGGCCCCAGCGAGGCCGCCTGAAGCCCAGTCATGCCTCATGCCTTCCTTCTCAAAGGTGTCACTGTCAGCAGATGAATTTCTAAGATTAAAGAGCCAATTTATTGGACAACATTTTGAAGCTGCAAAAGAAGTTTGGAGAAACAAAAGCAAATGTGACACTGCTCAGAGAGGCCCCGTGTCAGCATTTTGGAAGGGTGTCAAAAGCACAAAATTGGAACTATGCTAAGTTTACCGTTTTAAAATCTGCTTTTCCCTGTAGCGTTTGCATTCAAGGAAACAGCCTCGCTCCCCTCGTGCTGTTCCACTGCCTGGCAGTCGATAAGGCGGTTATCTGTCCCTCTGGTGGGCTGCGGCGCCGGCTGGGTGTCGCGGGCGCACTGCGGAAATCTCAGGAAAAGTCTTGAACTTGGCACCTCGGCTGAGTCCCGAGGAAGGAACGGGAGCCAGCGTGGGGAGAAGGGGGTGGGCTGGGCCAAGGGCAGAGTCTGGGGTGGGGAGGGGCCTCGCCTTTCTCTGCGCCTCCATACCCCAGCCCCTCTTGTCTGGAATACATTCTAACACCTGCAAGCCCCTTGTTGGGAAGTTCCAACCCCAAAGCCAGAGGCAGAACCGATTCCAGCCGCAGAGCTTTCTGTGCAGGGCGGGGAGGAGGGGTCCGAGCGCCCAGTAGGGCTGCACAATGCAGCAGGACCCTGAACTGGGGCAGCGAGCCGGGGCCCAGGCCGGCCTCTGAACTTGCTTCCCTGAGAGCCCAGTTACACATATTTTATTACCGAAGTTGCCCCACCCATCCGCGCACTAAGTACTTCACAAAGCACTGAAGAACATTTCCTCATTCTTCTCTACGATTTCCGGAATGGGCAGAGCGGGTCGTTTACACCTCGGGGAAACTGAGGCAGAGAGGGGGTGTGGCTTTCTGAACGCCAGCCGGGGGGGGGGGGGCAGGTGGCCGAGCTGGACTGCGGGACGCCGAAGCCCGGCTCAAAGTCCTGTCCCTCCTCCTCCAGGCGGACGCCCCTGCGGAGCCCGTGTACGCGAATGTGGAGAGGCAGCCCCGGGCCCCCTCCCCCGGCCCCGCGGCGGCCGCCGGCCCCGGCCAGGTGTGGGAGACTCACAGGGACGCGGACACCGGGCGCCCCTACTACTACAACCCGGACACGGGCGTGACCACCTGGGAGTCGCCCTTCGAGGCTGCCGAGGGCGCCGCCAGCCCCGCCACCTCCCGGGCCTCGGTGGACAGCCGCGAGAGCCTCGAGACCGAGTGGGACCAGTACTGGGATGAGGAGAGCCGCCGCGTGTTCTTCTACAACCCACTGACGGGCGAGACAGCCTGGGAGGACGAGAACGAACCGGAGGACGAGGCGGAGATGCAGCCCTGCCTGAGCCCCGGCAGCCCCAGGAGCCAGCGGGTGAGGGCGGGGCTTCCTCAGACACGCCCCCTGCTCGCCAGGGCGAGGTGGCGAGGGGCGGGGTCGGGTGGGCGGGGGCTTCCTCAGACACGCCCCTGCTCGCCAGGGCGAGGGGCGGGGGGGTGGGCGGGGCTTTCCTCGGACACGCCCCCTGCTCGCCGGGGCGAGATGGCTAGGGGGCGGGGGCGGGGGCGGGGGTGGGCGGGGCTCTTCTCGCCAGGGCGAGTTGGCGGGGTCATGGGTGGTCGGGGCTGCCTCTGACCCGCCTCCTGCTCCGCAGAGCCCAGTGGACCCAAGGGCTAGGGGACGGGCCAGGAGGCAGCACAGGCGCTGAGAGCCTCTGACTCCATCTTCTGTTCCTGCAGCCCCCCACCCCGGAGGCGGACTACCCGGAGGAGGACTACTCACCCCTGGGCTCCTTTGATGAGCCCAGCCCCACCTCTCCCTTGACCACACCCCCTGGCTGGTCTTGTCACATCAGCCAGGACAAACAGACGCTGTACACCAACCACTTCACCCAAGAGCAGGTAGGGGCAGTGGCAGGTGGACCCCGACAGCCATGACCTTGCTCCCCTGTCTTTCCTCACAGCACCTGCCCTTCATTCTGTAACTGCAGCTCCCCACTGAACTCCAGGCCAGGCTAAAGCAGAGCCACGGGCACCCGTCCCTCCAAATGTGGGGGGCTATCTTGGATTCTGATAGGGGGGAACCTTTTCTTCCCCTCTCATGAGCTGGGCTGGGGACCCTGACCGTCCCTGTCCCCACAGTGGGTGAGGCTGGAGGACCAACACGGGAAGCCCTACTTCTACAACCCCGACGACTGCTCGGTTCGATGGGAGCTGCCCCAGGTAACCAGCAGGGCCAGGGAGACCCTGGGGAGAGGGGAGGAGGTCATCTGTGACAGCGTCTTTCTCCCAGGTCCAGGTCCCCGTCCCCGCCCCTCAGAGCACCTGCAACTCCAGCCAGGGCAGCGACCTCCCAGCCCAGTCCAGCCCCCCAGAGGAGAAGGTAAGGGAGGAGCATGGAGACCTTGGGGGCGTGGAGATCTCGGGGTGGGGGAGATCTGCCTGGGCCCCAGGGTCGGGTGATGTTGGGAGGTGGGAAGCAACCTCTCCCACCCCTGCCTCATCACCCCACCGTGCCCACCAGCGGGGTGGCTGGGCTGCGGAAGAAGAGAGGACTCAGTGGAGCTGCGGGCCCGCCCAGCCCGCCCAGCCCCTGGGAGCCACCGCTGCTCTGCCCATGTGTGGCTCACCCCCCTTCACCCCTCCCCGCTTCTCCCTCTTAGATCAAGACCCTGGACAAGGCAGGCGTGCTCCATCGCACCAAGACGGTGGACAAGGGAAAGCGGCTCCGGTGAGAGTCCGGCTACACCCCGGCCGGGGCAGGGCAGCCTCTGTGACCCTGGTGAACGGGCAGGGCCAGGCTCGGCTTCCTCCCCCCAGCAACTTCATGAGGTGTCCTGGGAGGAAAGGGAGGCACCCAGAGAGAAATGACACGCCCGAGGGCCCTTGGCGACCACCCTTGGTGCCCCAGGCTGTGCCCTCCTGGAGTGAGAGGGGGACCCCAAGCTGCCCACCTGCTCTTCCCACCCAACCTAGGAAGAAGCACTGGAGCGCCTCCTGGACCGTGCTGGAGGGCGGGGTCCTGACCTTCTTCAAGGACTCTAAGACCTCGGTGACAGGAGGCCTGGTGAGGCCCTCGGGCCCCTTGTCTGATCTGGCTTGGGAAAGGCCAGGCTGCGGAGAGAACAGGAGCATCCAGGGGGCTGGGCCAGTAAGGGGGGTGTAGATTGCAGATTCGCCCCCAGATGAGCAGTGCCAGGCACCCTGGGGGCAGGGAGCAGGCCCTGCGGGTGGGCGGCTCAAGGCTGGAGGGCAGGGGAGGCTGGGGCCTGGCACTCCTCTTCGCGGGGAGAGGCTATGTTCCTTTCTCCCGTGCTCCCCCGTGCGGCAGCGCCAGGACCTCTGGTCTCCAGGACCAGCTTTCCCAGAGCTAGTGTCCCGCCACCCAGTGACCTCATCCGGTGCCCTGAGCCGGGGGAGGGCTGGTGGGGCAGAGCCAGGGCAGGAAGCAGGCCCATCTGAGCTCAGGGGTCCCTAACCTTGCTCCCCCGTTCCCCCTTCCCCCTCAGAGGCAGCCGGCCAAGCTCTCCACCCCTGAGTACACGGTGGAGCTGAAGGGAGCCTCTCTCTCCTGGGCCCCCAAAGACAAATCCAGCAAGAAAAATGTGCTGGAGGTGAGTGGGGGGCAGGGGAGGGCCTGGGGCTCTCACTGTGGGCAAGCCCCACGAAGGGCGACCTGGAGGAGCTGGGGCAGGAAGCCTCAGGGCCCAAGGCCAAAGCTGCCCCTGACCTGGAGAGCTGTCCACGGTGTTTCTAGCGTCAAGGATTTTGCAGTTCCTTCTCCAGGAGCTGAGTTCATGGTTCCCTGCCTGACGATGGTGAGAGGGAGAGGTCCCTGGGAGCTGACGCTGTCACGCCCTCCTGTCCCCGGCTGCTGCCCTCACCAGCTGGTTTGGAAACCTCTGCTCCCACTGGGTCCCCAGTGAATAAACCAGGACAGTGGATGAGCTGGCCGGGGTCCCCCCAGCAGCAAGAGGGAGAAGGCCAGGCTGGGGGCCTCTCAGTGCCCCACCCGTCACTGTCTCCATCTGTCTTAGCACTAAACTACTTTTGTCCCCATCTAAAGCCCCATGCTTTGAGGCAGATCACAACCAAAACACACATGGTGAAGTGAACCCCACCGAAAAGCCAGGATCACACAAAGTTTGGGAGGGGTTGGGGCACGTGATATGGCGGTCAAGACAGAGCTTGGGACTCCAGCATTCCATGTTGGGGTGCCTGGGTTCAAGGCCCAGCTCCCCTTCTGAATCTAGGTCCTGCTAATGTGCACCCTGGGAGGCAGCAGGTGATGACCCAAGCTCTTGGGTCCCTGCCAACCACATGGGAGACCCGGATGGAGTTCCTGGCTCCTGACTCCAGACTTCAGCCTGGCTCAGCCCCAGCTGTTGCAGGCATTCGGGGAGTGAACCAGCGGATGGAAGACCTGCGTGTGTGTCTGTCTGTCTGTTTCTCTCCCTGCCTTGCCTTTTATAAAAATTACAAAACAAAAGCAAGGTCGGGATGGGGCCAAGGTGGAGAGGAATTAGGGGCAGAGGATGAACAGGTGCTCCGGTGGTGACTGGGGAGACAGCCCAGTTCTCCTGGTTGCTATGGTAAAGAGAAAAGGGCTGTCCCGTTGTGCGTCTCTCATTGTTAAGAAGAACAGGGAAAAGCCTTCTGACTTGGAGGGAACCGTCTCTCCCTAACCCTTAGTTCTTGAGGAAGTGTCGAGTGGGTAGCCCCACCAATGTGGGTCCGGGTGGACGAGGCCAGTGCCCAGGCTCGGGATGGCGGGCTGCAGGAGAAACCCCCCATGCTGGAGGCTGAAGGCGGTGCCCTGTGTCTCAGCTGGGCAGAGTCGGTCCCACCAGGAGCCGGGTGTGTTTCTGACTCACCAGGCCTCATTCCGTTCTAGAACCAGAGCAGGGCTGGGAAACCGGTTTTACCTCCTCAGCGACTCTGATCCTTAAGTCTGGAGTCTTCACCAGGCGGGGCAACGTAGAGTTCTGAGATCAACTGGCAATGTCTGCCCTGAGGTCCCATTGGGCGGGGGCCTCTCCTCTGTCTCTGACAGGGTTCTCTACGAAGCCTGCCTCTGATGGCTCAGGCAGGCCTTTCGGAACCATCTTCCCTGGCAAGGACTGGAGGGCGGCAGTGCCCCGGGAGCTGCCAGTCCCATATGGAATCAGGGAATTCCCTGCACTCAGGGCAGCCGGGAAGGACGCCAGCATTGTCCTCAAGAGACAGCCTCCGGTTCTCTACGTGGGATGGCTTAGTGGGGCCCGAGGAGGCGACTGCAGAGCCACAGCAAACGGGAGGTATGGCCACCAGGGAGCAGCCAGTGTGGCAGGTGCAGCCCACAGCGCGCCAGCCCGTGCTTCCAACACGCTGAGCAGCCGGGAGCCACTGCCGCGCAGCTCTGCAGCCTTGCGCCCTGGCTGAGGTGCTGTCAGCCAGTCCCTGGGGAAGCAGCCCCCAGGGCTCCTGTCCGTGCACCCCACGGCTGTGCTGGCTGCCTGCTGAGAGCTCTCCAACCTTCGCAGGACAGGGCGTGGGCTGGAGCAAGGCATTGCTTTCTTTCTGCTTTTTATTTTCATTTTGTATCAAAGGCAGAGAGACACAGAGACAGACAGACAGAACTTCTATCTGCTGGTTCAGGTGCACACGACAGCCAGGCCCCCACTAGGCTGCATCCAGGAGCCAACAACTCCAGCTACGTCTCCCAGGGTAGAGGCAGGGAGCCAAGTACTTGAGTTACCATCTGCTGCCTTCGCAGGCATATTAGCAGGAAGCTGGGTCAGAAACAGAGCTGGGACTTTTTTTTTTTTTTTTAAGATTTATTTATGTATTTGAAACAGTTACAGAGATGAGGAGAGACAGAGAGACAGATCTTCCATTCTCTGGTTCACTTCCCAGATGGCCACAATGGCGGGGGCTGGACCAGGCCAAAGCCAGGAGCTAGGAGCTTCATCCAGGTCCCCCATGTGGATGCAGGGGCCCAAGCTCTTGGGGCCATCGTCCACTGCGTTCCCAGGCCATTAGCAGGGAACTGGATTGGAACTGGAGCAGCCGGGACTTGAACCGGCCCCCATGTGGAATACTGGCATTGCAGGTGGTGTTTTTACCTGCTACGCCACCGCTCTGGCCCCTGGAGCCAGGGCTCGAACCCTGGCACTCCGATATGGGATGCAGGCATCCCAAGCAGCATTTTAACCTCTGCCAAAGACACACCCTTTCTTCCTTCCCCCTCCTTAGTTTTAAGCAATTTAAATAGTTTTCAAGCATAGCTTTAAAGACAGCAGCCCTCTCTGGTCCTAGGAGTCGTTGCCCGCTGTCTGAGGCCGTGTCCGGGTCTCTGTGTCCCACTGCCCTCAAGGGCACCATGGGTGGGAGCCGCTGCAGCCACGCTGTTACCCTGCAGGGCCGAGGAGCCAGCTTCCAAGTCAGAGTGGGCCAGGGCTCCTGGTCTCCCTCTGGTATTTTGTGTCCTTTATACCCCTTGCGGCAGGGCTGTGAGAGGACGGGTGGTCCAGCCTAGGGGTGGGGCTGGGGGCTCCCAGCGCAGGCCAAGGGCAACACTCTCTGGTCCTTGGTGTGTGTGTGTGGTGGGGGGTTGGTTGGAGGAGTGGCCCGTGCCTTCTCCAGCATCAGCAATGTCTCGTCTAAACCCTCTCTGCCCACACTTGATTCACTGTCGTCCCGGCGGCCAGGGCTCTCCCTCAGGGAGTTTCCTTCACAGGCCCGGGGTCTGGGCGGGGCCCGCCATGTCTTCTGGTTCACAGCGAAGCAGATGGGGCATGGGCAAGTGTGCCAGGCCGATCTGTATCCCCTCACCCACCCGGCTGTGTGCCTAGCACTTGCTGAGCCTCGGCTTGCTCATCTGTAACAGAGATGCTGTCACTCGTTGCTTTATTTTTTTTACTATTTTATTTATTTAAAGATTCAGAGTTGCAGAGAGATATCTTCCACCCACTGCTTCACTCCCCAAATGGCTCAATGGTAGGGGCTGGGCTGATCGGAAGCCTGGAGCCAGGAGCTTCTTCCAGGTCTCCCTCATGGGTGCAGGAGCCCAAGCACTCGGGTCATCTTCCACTGCTTTCCCAGGCACATTAGCAGGGAGCTGGATTGGAAGTGGAGCAGCTGGGACTCGAACCAGCACCCATATGGGATGCCGGTGTCGCAGGCGGCAGCCTTACCCGCTACACCACAGCGCTGGCCCCCACCCATTGCTTTAAATGAGGAGGGAGACCTTGGCATGGGTTGAGGCCCTTGCCCCATTGGGCGCCGAGTTCCTGGGGTATGGGAGCAGGTTGCCGTCATTTCTGCCCCAGCCTGCCCCTGCAGCAGCCCCAGGGAGCCCCAGGTGACCCAGCGACTTGTGTTCCTCCAGCTGCGGAGCCGCGATGGCTCGGAGTACCTGATCCAGCACGACTCGGAGGCCATCATCAGCACGTGGCACAAGGCCATCGCCCAGGGCATCCAGGAGCTGGTGAGGCAGAGCCGGGGCCTCCAGGCTGGTGGGGAGGCGGTGGTCAGCCATCACGCATGGCACCTGTGCCCGCCCTGGGAGGAGCCCTCTGCAGGGCCCCAGTGGGGAAGTGCCCCTCCCGGCTGCTGAAGGCAGGGAGGACCCCTGGGGGCGGCGGGAGCCCATCCTAGAGCAGTTAGGAGAAGGAAGTCTCTGAGGGGCCTCAGGCCCGCATGGCGGCTACAACTAGCAGAATCCACTTAAAGGGATCGAATTGAGGAGACCAGCAGCTGTTAAGGTCAGATAGCAGTGATGTAAGCAGAGATGGGGCAAGTCCCCCCGACAATGACCTGAGGCTTAATTCCCTGTCAGCCAACCTTGGGTACAGCTTCCGGCTGTATTAATAGAGGTAGGAATCCAAACACAGGGAGGTGAGGATGCTGGCCCAGCCGGACCTGCGGCCTCAGAACTGAGAGCCATGCAAGTCTGGTGAGGATGCCGACCTGCAAGGGGTGGCGGGGGGGGGGGGGGGGGGATGAGAGCCAGGGAAGGCAGCTGGGCACCTCTAGGCGGCCACGGTCAGAGACCGTGCAGGTCAGAGAGATTTCCGGACACTCTGCAGCCGAGGGAGCTGAATCCTCGCAGGCTGCCCGGTGGAGGTGAGGGGAGTTAGCCTGGTGAAGGAAGGAGATCCCTGGGAGACCTGGGCCGGGCCCGCTGGGAGCCTCTGAGGCGCATCCCAGCTACCTCCGGGTGATTACAGTACGCAGACCTGGCCCCCGAGGACAGCCAGAGCGGCGGCGCCGACTTCGGCTCGAGCGAGCGCCTGGGAAGCTGGCCGGACAGAGAGGACGACGTGCGGCCCAGTGCGTGTGAGCTGGGGGTCGGGGGTCGGGGAGGAGGGCGGCGGCACCCAGGTGACGCCCAGCCAGGGCCTGGCTCGCCGCCAGTCGGCTCAGCTCCGCGTTCGCCAGCAGCCGCCGCGCCTGTCCTGAGTCCCGGCGGCCTGGAGAGCGACCTGGGCAAGGTGCGGCACAAGCTGCGCAAGTTCCTGCAGAGGCGGCCCACGCTGCAGTCGCTCCGGGAGAAGGGCTACATCCGAGGTAGGCGGGGAGTGCGGGCGGGAGCCGCGCGGCGCGCCGGGGGCGCAGGGCCGGGCGGCGCGGGGCGGCGCTGACGGAGCCTCTCCCCCAGACCAGGTGTTCGGCTGCCCGCTGGCCGCGCTGTGCGAGCGCGAGCGGAGCCCGGTGCCGCGCTTCGTGCAGCAGTGCATCCGCACCGTCGAGGCGCGGGGTACGCGCGGGGGTCCCAGGGCCGGGCTGCAGAGGGGAGACCCCTGGGTGTGGGCGGGGAAGAACGGGCGGCTTCAGCCCTGGCTCCCGCTGACCCCGGCTCTGCGCCTCCCGCCGGCCCAGGGCTGGACATCGACGGGCTGTACCGCATCAGTGGAAACCTGGCCACCATTCAGAAGCTGCGCTACAAAGTGGACCACGGTGAGACCCGTCCCCAGCGCCTGCCCCAGGGCCCGAAGGCGCGAAGGGGCGCTGACCATCACCCCTCTTCCCCTCCGCCGCAGATGAGCGACTCGACCTGGACGACGGGCGCTGGGAGGACGTCCACGTGATCACTGGTGCCCTGAAGCTCTTCTTCCGGGAGCTGCCCGAGCCCCTCTTCCCCTTCTCGCACTTCCGCCAGTTCATCGCAGCCATCAGTGAGCACCCGGTGCAGGTGGGGCGGACGGGCCGGGGGCCACCTCGCGCGCCCCCCTCCCCGAGCCCACCCTCCCTCTCCTCCGATCTCTCCCATCCCTAGAGCTGCAGGACCAGGCCCAGCGCAGCAAGTGTGTGCGCGACCTGGTGCGCTCCCTGCCCGCCCCCAACCATGACACTCTGCGGCTGCTCTTCCGGCACCTGTGCAGGTGACAGGGCCGCGGGAATGGGAGGGAGGTGGGCCCTGGCGGAAGCCCCCCATGCACACACACCATCACCCCCGCGCCCAGCTCTGGGCCCTGATTTCTTCGCGCTCCGCCCCCCGCGCAGGGTGATCGAGCACCGCGAGCAGAACCGCATGTCGGTACAGAGCGTGGCCATCGTGTTCGGGCCCACGCTGCTGCGGCCCGAGACCGAGGAGACCAGCATGCCCATGACCATGGTGTTCCAGAACCAGGTGGTGGAGCTCATCCTGCAGCAGTGCGCAGACATCTTCCCGCCGCACTGACCGCGGCCCGGCCCGGGGGCGGCCACTGTGGTCTGGCCACGCCACCGGACTCTCCCGGAGACCTCGGTCCTCGGGGCCCTGTGGCGTCCACGCGCCTCTCTGTTCGGGGTGGGGATGGCGCCCTCTGGTGGGCAGCTCTCCAAAACGTGATGATTTTTCCCCGGGCCTGCCTCGTTCGGGGACCAGCCGGGTTGTTCTGTACTACAGCGCCACCTGCTGTGCACGGGCGGCACGGGCGGGGAGTAGAACTGGGAGAGGGGCTTCCTGGCTTCGGGCCTCGTGCTGGTCATGAGGCAGCTACCCACACGCTTCCCTGCTGCCCAGGCGGGAGGGCCCTGGCCCCGGCACGTGCAGCCGGCCGGGTCTCGCTCAGGCCTTGGGGCCCCGGGCTGGCTGCGGGCCGTGGGACTCTGGCCTCCCTGGGGCTCAGGGTTCTTCCTGTTCACCTGTCACCTGGCGCGCACACAGCGTCACTGTACAGGTGAGGAAACAGGCGTGCAAGGGCACGATGAGGGGCTTAGAGGCCAGGCGGTGCTCAAACACCCCAGCACAGGCTCCCCTCCCAGCACACGCTGCGGGGTGGGCATCAACCCTTTTACCTACCCCCACCCCACCCCACCCCAGCAGTTCTCTGCAGTGAGAGTGGAGAACCGGAACTGGCAGCAGCCCTCAGCCCCTCTGCTGCCCACCTGCTGCCCACCTTGCCCTGAAGGGCTGGGAGGGGCTTGGGGGTGGGCGGAGGTGTGGGGGTGGGGAGAACAGTCTCAGGATGGAAAATGTGAACTGGGCTCAGCGGCCCTTCCCCCCAAGCACAAGCCACCAGGCTGCACTGCTTGGTCCCCGCCCCGCCCCACGCCCTCCCCGCGCACACAAGAATAGCTCATATTTATCGGCCATCTGTACCATGCCGGCGTCCTACTCGGATGATTCCATTCGTCTCTATTTATTGTTTGTCCTCTGTGCCCCGGGCAGGACTACCTCACCTGCGGCCGCCCCAGGGGAGCTCGGGGTCGGCACATGAGGCTGACCAGCTCCCCCCAGCGCCAGCAGGCTCGGGGCAAAAGTACAAGTAGAGGCCTCCTACCATATGTCTAAATATTTAAAAGGTATAAACCAAGACAGCAGCTGTTAAATAAAATGTTTTATTCTCCTACTTGGACAAATGGACCTGGGGGGCCAGGTTTCAATTTATACTTCTTTGACCCACCCAAGTTCCCCGTGTGAACGTGGGGGCGGGAGAGGAGCTGGCCCTGACCCTCCTCCTGCTCCCCCCCCACCCTCAGAGCCACCAGGAGAGGCTCTCGGGCTCACACGTGGCCACGCCAGTCCACGCGTGAAACCTACCCTTCTCCCCTGCAGCCGCTGGGCCACCCCCGGCCGCACAACCTACCATGTCCTCGGGGATTCTGGGTCCTGCGTACCGCGAGCTTGGCCTAAAGGGAAGGGCCTGGTGTGCAGAGGGGCCCCAGGGACTCTTCACCCGTGCCGGGGAGCCGCAGACAGAGACGATCCAGGCCGGGCCTGTTGGAACAGGGACCCAGGCGGGAACCGCTGCTGCCAGGTCTCCAAGATGCCTCCATTACCTGCGTCTGCAGTGGGGCCCTGAGGGTATGTCACAGGCTGGTGACTGTCCCCCAGGCACCCAGGGTGCCCACAGCAGCCACACTGACGCAAAGCAGTAAGGAGTGTACCGTCAACCAGCCCAGGAATTACGGGGAGGATGCCGGGGTGGCGGGGACTGCATGTGCAAGGGCCCTGGGGCAGAAGGAGCATGGGGAGAACTAAGCCTGAGAGCATGGAGCCCGCGGCCCAGAGGGCCTGGGGCTGAGGGGCAGCTGGACAGCTGACCAGGGACAGGGACGCCGGGCCCTCCAGAGCACATGAAGTGCGGGCCTGTGACCAAGGACACTGGGTCACCAAGGAAATGGGCTGAAGGCTCCCAAGCAGGGGTCTTGAGAACGTCACATCCCCTCCCCCACCACAGACTCCCGACTGCCAAGCTGCAGGAGCCGAACTACAGAACAGCAGGCAGAGAAGTTCTAGAATCATTGCATTTTCAAAAAGATTGTTTCATTTTATTTTATTTGAAATACAAAGTTACACAGATACCAAGAGATCTGTCTGCAGGTTCACTCCCCAGATGGCCACAACAGCCGGGGCTGAACCAGGCCAAAGCTTCATCCATGTCTCCTGCGTGGGGGCAGGGGCTCAAGTACTTGGGCCATCTTCCACTGCCTTCCCTGGCACTTCAGCAAGGAGCCAGATTGGACACGGAACAGCCAAGACTCAAATTGGCACCCATATAGGATGGTGGCATTGCAGGCGGCAACTTTACCCACTACGCCACACCACTGGCCCCGAATCGTCCCCTTTTGTCCCCAGGAGGCGATTCAGAAGTCCTTTGTCACCAGTGAGGACACGGGGACTCAGTGGTGAGCGCTGCAGGGTGCACTGGGTGTGGGGGCTGCGCTGGGCTTTGTCTGGACGGCACCTGCCCCGGAAGCTGCATCTGACTGGGGGACCCAATCAGGGGCTCAGGTTCTTCCCCGGGGCGCCAGCAAGGAGCTGCATAGGAAGCGGAGTAGCTGGGACTCGAACCAGCGCTCCGACCTGGGATGAGGGCGCCCAAGCAGCCGCTTAACCACTGCGCCCCACCACCAGCCCCAGGCTCACTCTGAGGCCCAAGGCTGATGCTATGCCCACCCTGCTTACAACCTTCCCACTCAGCCTTGGGGGGGACCACGTGGACTGCCCGGTCTGCAGTGTGACAGTGGCTCCGTGCTGGGCCTGGAACTGGCCAGGCCAGATTCAAACCCAAGCTCCACAGTGCCCTGCGGGAAGATTCCAGTCACTGGTTCCTCGTCTGTGTCCTGGCTTCTTCATCTGGAGGATGGGGATGCGACAGCAGTGCCAGCCTCCTCGTGCGGCTGCGGAGATGACCGGGCTAACCCTTGCCGCGCTCTGAGAGGTCTGGCCCGAGCACACACTCAGTAAACACCTGCCGGGCCCTGTGCCTCACTCGCTCTCGGGCCTTCTGTGCTGGCCCCCGGTCAGCTTCTCAGGGCCTGTGCCCATGCCTGCCTTGTTCCTACAGAGAGAGCTGGGGCAACTATGTGTGCTTGGCCGGCAACTTCAGCTATGCACACCTGCCTAGAGAGCTCTAGAGTTCCCATGATTAGTAAGGGAGACCCGTGCCGCACGCACGGCCCAGAGCCAGGCTCGCGAGCCGGGCACAGAAAGGGCAGGGAGGAACCCCGGGAGTGCAGCCAGGGGGCCTGGTGGGCAGGACCTGGCTTGAGACCCTCTGCTTGTAGAGTTTAGGAGCAATCTCTCCATGACGTCAGCCCAGTGGTGGCATGGGGTGGGGCAGCGGGGACAGGAGGGCACCCACTGGGATTAGCACAAGCAGCCCTGCCCGGGGGACACCCTGTGCTGCCTGAGGGCAGGCGTCCTCCTGCACCTGCCTCCAGGGAGGGCCCGGGAGATGGCAGACTGGTGCTCACTCGGGCAGAAGATGCCAGGCCATGCAGGGCTTCTTGTCCTGCTGGGACGGTGGACTTCATTTTTGAAAAAGCATTTGAGAGAGAGAGAGACAGATAGAGAGATCTCCCATCTGTTGCTTCACTCCCTAAATGCCTGCAGCAGCCAGGGCTCGGCCAGGCCAAAGCTGGGACCTAGGAACTCAGTGTAACTCCCCACGTGGAGAGCCAATCACGCGAGCCATCACGGCCGCCTGGCAGGGTGTGCATGAGCAGGAAGCTGGAGTCAGGAGGCAGAGCCAGGATTCAAATGCAAGCACCCAATGTGGGATGCAGGCGTCCTAACCAGCGTCTCAGACCAGACACCTGCCCGTGACCTTTCTCCTCCTTCTCCTTCCCCTTCCCCTTCCCCTCCTCCTCCTCCTCCTCCTCCTTCTCCTTCTTGTTTATTTTATTTGAAAGGCAGAGTTATAGAAAGAAGGAGCGGCAGAGAGAGCTCTTCCATCCACTGGTTCACTCCCCAAATGGCCACAATGGCCAGGGCTGGTCAGGCCGAAGCCAGGAGCTTCCTCCAGGTCTCCTACATGGGTGCAGGGGCCCAAGGACTTGTGCCATCTTCCACTGCTTTCCTACGCCATAGCAGGGAGCTGGATCGGAAGTGGAGCAGCTGGGACTCGGAACTGGGACCTTTGAGGATGCCAGTGATGCAGGTGGAGGCTTAACCCGCTCATAGGCACTGTGCCACTGCGCTGGCCCCTGAACTTCATTCTTTATGGCCCATGGGACAGAATGAATAATTGGTAGAGAGGGGTCCCGTGTGCCCATCACCCACTTCCCCCAGGGGTGACATCTTACATAACTCCAGTGCGTTAGCAAAACCAGGGAAGTGACTGGCAGGCGCTGACCACAGCTGCCGGACTGCGGCCCTCACCTGATCTTGCCATTCTGCACGCACCCATGTTTCGGTCATCTTTGTGCACAACTCCCTGGCACTTTATCACAGGTGCACAGCTGCACTTTATCACAGGTGCACAGCCGCAGTCAAGGCACAGAACGGCTCAATCAGCTCTATGGTCTGGGGAGGGTGTTTGATACAGCTGTTAGGACGCTCCCGAGGTTCATGTCAGAGGGCCCAGGTTCAGGTCCCAGCTCAGCCCCCAGCGCTAGCTTCTTGCGGAAGCAGATTCTGGGAGACAGGAAGTAGTGGCTCAAGCAGCTGGGTCCCTGCCACCCATGAGGCTGGCTCCTGGCTTTGACCTGGCCCAAACCCGACTATTGCAGGTATTTGAGGAATGAACAGTAGATAGGAGAACTCTGTCCTGTCTCTCTGCCCTTCAAATAGATAAACAAACAAACATTAGAAAAATGGGGCCCAGTGTAGTGGCACAGTGGGTTACACTGCCACCTGCAACACCAACATCTCCTATGAGTCCTTGGGCCCCTGCACCCACATGGGAGACCCGGAGGAAGCTCCTGGCAGGCCCCCCCCCCCCCCCCCCCCCCGCTCCGCCCCGCAACCTTGCGTTTCTCCCATCGCCGCGATTTTTACCTGGGGACTGTAATACACGTGGACTCACACAAGGGGGAGCTCTTCCAGCCATCCTGTCCCTCTCCGCTTCGTGCCGCCAGATCCATTCAAGTGGCCGCGGGTACCAGTCCTACTGAGTAGTATTCCACAGCTACGCTTTTAAAGAGGGTCTCTCGGCTGCAGGGAAGGATGGAGAGCAATGAGGAAACTTCTAGTATCCACAGACGCATCCCAGCCAGACCTCATGCCATGTCTGCTCAGCCTGGAGCTGGCCCTGATTTTAGGCCTGCTGTGTGAGCATCTGCCAGAGATATTGGAGTGCTGGAAGCAGAGCTGCCAGCAGGGGGTGCTAAATGCCTATTGCCCAAGGGGTGATTCCAACTGGGCACAGGAGGAGGCTTAGCATGAGCTCTGGGCCTTTGTGCAAGTGGGCCAAGAAAACTCCGGCTTGTCTCCCTCTCGACCTCAACCCACAGGTTCGCATCCAGCCCTGAGCTCCAAGGCTGGGAGATGAGGCTGATGATGTAGCCCCCCGGGGAGAGGCAGGGTGAGTCCTGGAGGAGGTGGGCTGGGTGGGCAGAGAGAAGCCCATTAGCTTCCCTGAGCTCAGGCTACAGGGCTGGGCTTCAGCACCTCTGCCTGCCCATCCTCCCCACTCCAAAAACTACTGCCCTTCCCCAGCCTGCTTCTTCCACACCTGGAGCCTTAGGCTTTGCCCCTGTGTTCTACATCCCCTGTCAGTCTCCTCCCTGCCTGCAAGTCACCACCCTGTGCCCTGCAGCCATGTGGTTTTAGCACCAGTCACAGGTGCAGGCTGGGCACTTACTGTGTTGGCTTCTGCCACTGCAGGGGAGCCAGGCCAACATTCCCAGGGGCCCAGGAGTCAGCCGCCTCTGGTTCCTCTGCCGGGTGGTGGGCACCCTCCTCAGACGTGCACCTGCACCCCTCACCATCGGAATCCAGCCCACTCTCTCTGCACCATTTTTTTTTAATTTTTGACAGGCAGAGTTGACAGTGAGAGAGAGAGACAGAGAGAAAGGTCTTCCTTTGCCGTTGGTTCACCCTCCAATGGCTGCTGCGGCCGGCGCGCTGCGGCTGGTGCACCACGCTGATCCGAAGGCAGGAGCCAGGTGCTTCTCCTGGTCTCCCATGGGGTGCAGGGCCCAAGCACTTGGGCCATCCTCCACTGCCTTCCCGGGCCACAGCAGAGAGCTGGCCTGAAAGAGGGGCAACCAGGACAGAATCCGGCGCCCCGACCGGGACTAGAACCCAGTGTGCCGGCGCCGCAAGGTGGAGGATTAGCCTAGTGAGCGGTGGCGCCGGCCTCTCTGCCATTTTTACCCCATCTCCAGCTCCCTGGCCCCTGGCTCCTAGCTACCCACTCACTCACTGGTGCTCAGCCTCCCTGGGTGTCTCTCTCACCAGCACCTGCAGGTCGCCACCTCCACATCCTTGTGCAAGGTGTCCCCCCGTGCCAGCTGACCTCCCCCTGTTCTCTGCCACCAGCCCCACTCCTCCAGGAAGCTGTCAGTGCACAGCACGGAGCGGCCTTTTAAAAATGTGAGTCTCAGCCTCTGTGTCCCCAAATGTGTGTGTTGTGTGCACTTTGAATAGACTCTCCCCGTGCGGCCCTGCCAAAGAAAGCCGAGCGCACTTAGCACCTGCCTGGAAATCTTCTCCTTCGTGCCCGGGTGCCCACAGCCTGGCTCTCAGGAGGGCCCAGCGAAGACTTTTTCTTTTTTTTTTTTAAGATTTATTTACTTATTTGAAAGTCAGAGTTACACAGAGAGAGGAGAGGCAGAGAGACAGAGAGAGGTCTTCCATCTGATGGTTCACAATGGCCACAATGGCCGGAGCTGCACCGATCAGAAGCCAGGAGCCAGGAGCTTCTTCCAGGTCTCCCCTGTGGGTGCAGGGGCCCAGGACTTGGGCCATCTTCTGCTTTCCCAGGCCATAGTAGAGAGCTGAATGGGAAGTGGAGCAGCCGGGTCTTGATGCTGGCGCTTCAAGCCAGGGTGTTAACCAACCCACTGCGCCACAGCGCCAGTCCCCACAAAGACTTTTTTTTTCAACATTTCTTTCTTCCTTTTCTTTCTGTCTCTCTCCCTTTCTTTCTTGACAGAGTGAGGGGCTGCGTGTTGTGGTGCACAGGGCCTAAGCTACTGCCTGAGGTGCCAGCATCCCATATGGGAGCCAGTTCGAGTCCCAGCTGTTCCACTTAAGACCCAGCTCCCTGCTAATGGCCTGGGAAAGCAGCGGAAGATGGCCCAAGCGCTTGGGTCCCTGCATCCACGTGGGAGACTCAAAAGAAGCTCTGGCTCCTGGCTTCAGCCTGGCCCAGCCCTGGTCATTTTGGCAATTTGGGGAGTGAACCAGTGGGTGGAAGACCTCTCTCTGTGTCTCTCTATCTGCCTCTCTCTCTCTCTCTGTAACTTTGCCTTTCAAATAAAAAATAAATCTTCAGAAATTTTTTTTACTAAAACATCTTTTAATTCCAATTTCCATGTACTTTTCGAAGTATGCTACATAACCAATAAATAAAACACGCCCAATTTCATAAGTCATCAGAGAAATGCAAATTAAAGACACGTGATATCAGCGTGCACATCCACCAGGGCTAAAATGAAACCGAGTTCCAGGAGCGAACGCCAGCACGGCCGGGCAGCAACGGGCACTTCTACTCCCTCAATGGCACCAGTTGCTCTGGGAAGCCACACACACCTGCATCACCCTGGGACCCAGGAATCTGATTCACAGCTATGGTTCCCTCAGAAACGAGTGCTTAGTGTCCCCAACACCCACACACAAGAGTGTTCGCAGCAGCCTGGCTCACGATGGCCAGATTTGAAGACAACCACTAAGTATCTCAGCAGGACGGACAGATACACTGCAGTAATTCTCCCAATGGAATACGGCATAAAAGTGAGAGTGAACAAATTAAACTACACAGGAGGTGAGCAATGGAAGAGCAGTCTCTGTGGTTCCACTGCTACACAAGTCAGAAGCTGTGAAATCACAGGGTGTTTACCCTGAGGGCTTCTCTGGGGGACGGGGAGGCTCCCAAGTACATTTGGGGCTCCTAACAGTCGGGACTGACTTGGCTGAGTGACAAGTGACTGGTTCGGGGCGGCGGGCACCTGGTGCAGTGGTCAGGTCCCTGCTTGGGACGTCCACACCCCTGTCCGAGTGCCTGCAGCGTCCTGCTAATGCCACTCTGGCAGCAGGTGATGGTGATGGGTCAGGTCTTGGATCCCTGCCGCCCCTGTGGGAGACCCGGATAGAGTTCCAGGCTCCTGGCTCCAGCCTGGCCCAGCCTTGGCTGTTGGCACTCTCTCTCTTTATCTCTGCATGTCTCTTAGCCTCCATGTTAAAAACAGAAACAAAAACAAAAACATGGCTGTTTATGTGGTCTGCTGTCCCTTTAGTGGCTGGCCTGGTGCCTGTCGCACAGAAGGATCTCAGTCCCTACCTACTTGAGACTACAGGGCTGCCACTGAGTGATCTCCCAGCCGCTCCCTGGCAGGGCCTGGTTCCTGTGCGAGCTCACGGGACAGCAGACAAGCAGCCCTCTCTCGGCGACTTCGTCCATCCCTACAGAGAACCTGCACCACGAGACGCGCTGTGGCGAGTGGTTATCGCTGTGACGTCAGCCTAAAGGTTAGGGATGTCCCCAGATCATCCCAGTTCCCTTCCCCACCCTATATGGATAGGTCACCCGTAAGAGAGCCTTGAACTTCTACTTTACCTCTTGGGAGCACAACAGTTCCCTAAACCAGGCTCCTCCTCCGTGAGAAGCAGCCAGTTCGCTTAAAAGTTCACACGTTGCGGCACAGAGGGTTAAGCTGCTGCCTCTGACGCCGGCATCCCACAGAAGCACCTGTTTGCATCCTGGCTGCTCAGGTTCCTACCCAGCCCCCTGCTAATACACCTGAAAACGGCCTGAGTGATCGAGTTCATTCGCTAGCACTTCCCCAGGACCTACTGTGTGCCAGCACGGTGCTAGAGCAAAACACCTACCATGTGCAGCATTGCTTAGTTTCCAGAGGGCTTCCCCACCCTGCGACCCACCTCCCCCTCAGAGCAGCTCTGGAGAAAGAAACCCATCCACCCCCCATTAATTTGTGCATCTCACAAACTCAGACCAAGTACAGTGTTCCGAGGGAGCGGGGGCACAGGAACAAGGGTGCCTCCTTGGAGCTGGAGAACAAGAATCTCATACTCAGAGCAATAGGCGAGCTGAGGTTATAGCAAATCCTGTAAAACACAGCCGAGTGACACGGCCGGAGGGCCGGGGGCTGGGTGGGGCTGCCCTGGGGGTGGTCAGAGAAGCCACCAGCTACGGAAAGGGAACAGCAGGCGCAGTGCACAACACATGCAAAGGGGCTGGGGTGGGCAGTGCCTGGGCCCTGGGGGACCCGAGGGAGGCAGCCAGTGTTGCTGGAGAACTGGAATGTTCTCTGGGAGGGAAGTGGGAGCTGAGGGGATGAGGGGATGAGGGGACGAGGGGACGAGGGGACGAGGGGGGAGGAGGAAGACAGAGGGTGCGAGGGAAAGGCTGGCAGCCATTCGGGCTGACTGTCCCGTGAAAGGTGAATCCACTCGGGGTCTTAGGGGAGTGAGCCAAGGCGCTCTGATGGACATTTTCACAAGACCACAGGGTCAAGCCAGAGGCAGCAGAGAGCACAAGATGGCCATCGACTTATGGCCTGTGTGGGATCAGACTGTCAGAGCCAAGGGTCGAGGCCCCGCTTTCTCTGCCAGACCTGTTCCTCCCCATCCTTCCAGAAAACAGCACAGCTGCACACCCTGCTGCTCCACCCAGAGACTCCAAGCCCTGCCCGCACCCTCCTTACCCACCCTGCCCATCCGGTCTGCACCGTGGGTGTCCACACCAGGACAGCTTCCGGGCTGTGCCAAGTGCACGTGTGTGTGTCGGTGGCCTGGTTGTGACAAGGTCTCGGGAACTTCCTGCTCTCCTGGTGCAGGGGGAGAAAGCGGAGAGCTGGCTTCAGCCATGGTGAGGGTGTGAGTCCCACCAGTGTCGCCAAAGGGAGTGTCCCTGTCTAGTGTCCCTGGACAAAGGGAGTAGGGCGCAAGAGCCGGGGTTGTCACAAGAGAACAATCAGGACCAGGGACGCCAAAGTGGAAACGGGAGCAGGGTGGGGTGGGGGCACGGG